CACGTGTGGGCATCGACGTAGAAAAGCAAAGGAACAGAAGCACGCTGTTCAGAAGCAGGTCGCTGACATAATTTTAAGCCTGCTTCGAACCCGCCAGTCATTCTGAATTCTCTTTCAGGTCAGCTGCCGGAATGACAGCAGGTTTGTCAGCTGTTGAAAGTTAAGACTGCATTTAATTTTCTAAGCCTCCAGCATTGCTAAAAAGCGAGAGGGAGGCCAGAAAGCCTGACAGGAAATTGCCGCGGAGTAACAGAAAATACAGAGAGAAGATCGAAAGTCACTACAGTGGACTACAGTAGACAAAAGGTTCAGATGTTCTTGTCCTGGCCAAACAGGTAGTCACAGCTGTGACCGTGAGCCTATTTTGAACATACACTGCATCGCCGCCCTATTCTGTGATATTTGAGGAATGCATGAATCTTCTATGATTCTATAAGATCTATAAGTAAAGTACAAAGGCATCAAAGGCATCAAAGGCATCAAAGGCATCAAAGGCATCAAAGGCATCAAAGGCATCAAAGGCATCAAAGGCATCAAAGGCATCAGAGGCATCAGAGGCATCAGAGGCATCAGAGGCATCAGAGGCATCAGAGGCATCAGAGGCATCAGAGGCATCAAAGGCATCAAAGGCATCAGAGGCATCAGAGGCATCAGAGGCATCAGAGGCATCAGAGGCATCAGAGGCATCAGAGGCATCAGAGGCAGCAGAGGCATCAGAGGCATCAGAGGCATCAGAGGCATCAGAGGCATCAGAGGCATCAGAGGCATCAGAGGCATCAGAGGCATCAGAGGCATCAGAGGCATCAGAGGCATCAGAGGCATCAGAGGCATCAGAGTCATCAGAGGCATCAGAGGCATCAGAGGCATCAGAGGCATCAGAGGCATCAGAGGGGCACAGCGGAACCAGACGGCCCCACACCCCAACCAGGGGGGGAGGCATCAGAGGGGCACCAGAGCATCAGAGGCATCAAGGAATCAGAGGCAAATCAGAGAATCAAAGGCATCAGAGGCACCAGAGGGCAACCAGAGGCATCAGAGGCACAGAGGCATCAGAGGCATCAGAGGCATTCAGAGGCATCAGAGGCACCAGAGGAACCCAGAGGCATAGAGGCACCAGCGGCATCGAGGCATCAGAGGCTCAGAGGCATCAGGAGGCATCAGAGGCACCAGATGGGCATCAGAGGCATCAGAGGCACCAGAGGCATCAGAGGCATCAGAGGCATCAGAGGCATCAGAGGCATCAGAGGCATCAGAGGCATCAGAGGCATCAGAGGCACCAGAGGCATCAAAGGCATCAGAGGCACCAGAGGCATCAAAGGCATCAGAGGCATCAGAGGCATCAGAGGCATCAGAGGCATCAGAGGCATCAAAGGCATCAGAGGCACCAGAGGCATCAGAGGCATCAGAGGCATCAGAGGCATCAGAGGCATCAGAGGCACCAGAGGCATCAGAGGCATCAGAGGCATCAGAGGCATCAGAGGCATCAGAGGCACCAGAGGGCACCAGAGGCATCAGAGCACAGAGGCATCAGAGGCACAAGAGGAATCAGAGCACAGAGGCAGGCATCAGAGGCATCAGAGGACATCAGAGGCATCAGAGGCATCAGAGGCACCCAGAGGCATTCAGAGTGCATCAGAGGCATCTCGAGGACACCAGAAGGCATCAGAGGCATTCAGAGGCCACAGAGGCCATCAGAAGAGGCATTCAGAGGCATCAAGGCACAGGCCCCAGGCATCGAGCATCAGAGGGCATCAGAGGCATCAGAGGCATCAGAGCACAGAGGCATCACGGCATAGAGCATCAGGAGGGCATCAGAGGGCATCAGATGGTTATCAGAGGCATCAGAGAGGATCAGGGGCATTCCACCGAGGCATCAGAGGCATCAGGGGCATCACAGAGGACATCCAGAGGCATTCACAGAGGGCATCACAGAGGCATCACAGAGGATCACAGAGGCATTCCACAGAGGGCATCACAGAGGCCTCACAGAGGCACATCACAGAGGCATCACAGAGGCATCTCAGAGGCATCTCAGAGGCATCTCAGAGGCATCTCAGAGGCATCTCAGAGGCATCTCAGAGGCATCTCAGAGGCATCTCAGAGGCATCTCAGAGGCATCTCAGAGGCATCTCAGAGGCATCTCAGAGGCATCTCAGAGGCATCACAGAGGCATCTCAGAGGCATCTCAGAGGCATCACAGAGGCATCACAGAGGCATCACAGAGGCATCACAGAGGCATCACAGAGGCATCACAGAGGCATCACAGAGGCATCAGAGGCAGAGGCATCTCAGAGGCATCTCAGAGGCATCACAGAGGCATCACAGAGGCATCACAGAGGCATCACAGAGGCATCACAGAGGCATCACAGAGGCATCACAGAGGCATCACAGAGGCATCACAGAGGCATCAGAGGCATCAGAGGCATCAGAGGCATCAGAAGCAGCAGAGGCAGCAGAGGCAGCAGAGGCAGCAGAGGCAGCAGAGGCAGCAGAGGCAGCAGAGGCAGCAGAGGCAGCAGAGGCAGCAGAGGCAGCAGAGGCATCAGAGGCAGCAGAGGCATCAGAGGCATCAGAGGCATCACAGAGGCATCAGAGGCATCACAGAGGCATCAGAGAGGCATCACAGAGGCATCACAGAGGCATCACAGAGGCATCACAGAGGCATCACAGAGGCATCACAGAGGCATCACAGAGGCATCACAGAGGCATCACAGAGGCATCACAGAGGCATCACAGAGGCATCACAGAGGCATCACAGAGGCATCACAGAGGCATCTCAGAGGCATCTCAGAGGCATCTCAGAGGCATCTCAGAGGCATCTCAGAGGCATCTCAGAGGCATCTCAGAGGCATCTCAGAGGCATCTCAGAGGCATCTCAGAGGCATCTCAGAGGCATCTCAGAGGCATCACAGAGGCATCTCAGAGGCATCACAGAGGCATCACAGAGGCATCAGAGGCATCAGAGGCATCAGAGGCATCACAGAGGCATCAGAGGCATCACAGAGGCATCACAGAGGCATCAGAGGCATCAGAGGCATCAGAGGCATCAGAGGCATCAGAGGCATCAGAGGCATCAGAGGCATCAGAGGCATCAGAGGCAGCAGAGGCAGCAGAGGCAGCAGAGGCAGCAGAGGCATCAGAGGCAGCAGAGGCATCAGAGGCATCAGAGGCATCAGAGGCATCAGAGGCATCAGAGGCATCAGAGGCATCAGAGGCATCAGAGGCATCAGAAGCATCAGAGGCATCAGAGGCATCAGAGGCATCAAAGGCATCAGAGATCAGAGGCATCAGAGGCATCAGAGGCATCAGAGGCATCAGAGGCATCAGAGGCATCAGAGGCATCAGAGGCATCAGAGGCATCAGAGGCATCAGAGGCATCAGAGGCATCAGAGGCATCAGAGGCATCAGAGGCATCAGAGGCATCAGAGGCATCAAAGGCATCAGAGGCATCAGAGGCATCAGAGGCATCAGAGGCATCAAAGGCACCCGCTGCTTGTGTGCCTCGATGAGGCCCACCATCCTCCACATCACCTTTCAGGAAATCAGGGTGTCCAAATGTGTCCAGGTCATGCAGGTCACATCAGGTCACCATGCGAAATACATGAAGTGATGCTGGAGATTGGATGAGATTTGTTTGTCAAATTTGTTTTTCGCATGCCAAAAAATCAAAAAACGGCAAACAATGGGATCCCAAGACTTTGACTCAACCCATGCACGAAATTAGCATGTCGGAAGCTTATAACTTCTTACATCCAAGTCTTGACGGCCCGAAAAAACTGGAGAAGAGACATGTTCACTTACATTGAATAGAAAGTAATAGAATATGTACTTCTGAGAACTACAGCAGTGCTCAATAGGTGTCTTCGCTTAGCATGGGGTCTTTGGTACTCTTACAAGCATTTGCGCTTGACCCTATTGGTTATAATATAGAGCCTACGTTCCCAAACAGCGGCACTCGGTCAATTACCATACGACGGACAATCCATATGGTCGGTAAGAAGAGCGATGTCATCGCATCTTAAGCGGTTTTTGATGGTTGTTGATGGTTTTTGGCTTTGTCACATACGAAGAAGCCTTGAGCCTGAGGTACTGATGGCGGACTAGTCTTTTCATGTCTTATCTAGTTTTGAGGTCATTGAAACTTAACTTGTCTCTGATTTAGTGTGCTGGGAGTGTGAGTCACAGGTCTCACCCCAAAAGAGGCAGTAGCATTTGGCGTTCTTTATGAGGGCGGTGTGATGCTGCTTGCTCTTGAAACCCTTTGATGTTTTATTGGGGTTGAACTCAAAAAATACCTTGAAGCACAACGTTATTGGAACCCGAACATTGAATAGCTAGTATACTGTATACTCTTCTTGCGCTGCACGCTTAAAAAAAATGAGTTCAGGACCTAAGCATTTTTGAATACCCTCCAGTTGGCTGCGACCTTCGGTAGAGACCTATGGATCAATGAGTTAATCTTTTATAGTCAGTAATCCCTCGGTGGCAAGAAAGATGCACATTGCAAGAAAGTAAAGCAATTTGAAAGCAGTTGATTTCAAGATATTTCAAGAAAGTTCAGCTGCTCGAGCGGCACTTGAGCTGTTTGATTTCCTCGACACTGAGGCACTTCTCGGGTGACTTTGTTCCCAGCCCTTGGGGCCAAGGGGAGAGCCATGAGCGCCACGAGGGCCGCGAGGGCCGCAAAGCACCCTTTAGGTGCTTGAAATGGTCAGTCAGTTCAAACACAGCTCCAAAGTCAGCAGCAGAGGTTTCTTTGGAAGTTTGACGAAATGTGTATGGCGACATTGAACTACACCAAAAAGACCTCTAAAGTTATCTGAATGTGATGACTTCACTCACTTGGCAATCTCTTTTCCTGCTGATCCTTTGCGACAAGCTTTTTAATCTTTTTATCTTCATTGACGTGATCCTTGAGATGGCTATGACTCAGGGCTGGTTGGAAGAAAATCTACTGAAAAGGCGCAAAAAAAACAGACTCACGTCCCCTCTAAAGTCTCTCATTCGCGACACATCGCCATGAACTCCTTGAAATCAATCTCTGCATCACCATTGAGATCAAGGTCTTTCAAGGTCTGAACCTGCGGAGCGAAAGTCTTGGAGTAAAATTTTTGATACCAGTACTTCAGGCAATTCAAGACTTGAGGCCCACGGGGGGGTAAACGAAAGCTAAGGCTCATATGAGCTTGGAAAATGATGGGATTTTGTGGGATTTTGATATGCTGAATACAGATTGCCTAGAGACCTGGCAGGATTTGAGCCTGCGACCGTCTGCTTCCAAGACCGCTTCAAAATGCCCCGGGAGCTTGGGGGGGGGGTTCGAGTGAAAAATCACTGTGTTGGACTCAGGCCTGCCCTTCCACTTAAATTCTCTTTCCGCAAGCCAACCGGTCCACTTAGTCCACTTACATCGCTTGATCACTTGCGATTGTCCGTGGCATCCTTGACCTTTGAGGGCTGGACCAACTCGGTAGCTTGGAGGTGACCCAGCAGACGGCCTTGCAGGGTTAAACGTTCGACTGAAGCCCAGGGAACGAAATTTTAGTAAATGAGAACCACCACGACACTGCAACTGTCACTGTCCAGCGATGTAGCTGCAAAAACTTGGTGCAATCGAATGCAATCGATGCAGAGTCAGTTTGTGCTTTCTACAAGAGTTCTCTGCGACATATCTGGCATGGGAAACTTCGCCTTCTGCCAACTCACCTCACGCAGACGGGACAATGCAGTGAAAACAATTATCACATGTCAGCTGGTTTTGTCGGCTCCATTTTGGCAAGCGTAATGAATACCAGGCTGATTTGCTCCAGTCTCGGATTCGGTCGCGTGAATTTGAGATGCCCCTTCTGATTGTTCTCACTTCACTGCCCAGGCACTCAGTTGTATGCTTCCATCCATGTTTTTGTCAAAACCTTAGCTCACGAGCTCAAAATGTTCTCTTTACATGTAGAAAACACAGCAGTTCAAAGGCAACAGTGTGTATCAAACTCTGAGAAGCTTTGTTTTCCTCAAGGAAGTTGACAGCCAAGATGCTATTGAAAATCACACGGCCAACCTTCTCTGTAAGACATTTCTTGCGATTGAAGGTCGCAGCAACAAACTCAGTGAAGGAAAAGTCCTGCAGCTGCGGAGAGAAGCCAGCAATGTCCCAAAGCCAAAGCGATGTAAAATGAAACCAACCTGGTGCAAGACGCTGCAAGACTGCATGGCTTGCCCTACTCTGCTCTTGAAGAAGATATAATCAGTGGGACCCTTTATCCTTTAAACACTGCACTTTACCTCCATATTTCAAGATCTGAACAATCGCCAAGACAGGACCCGATATCAGTGACAAAACGAATAGTGAGTGATTTGTGTCACACGGTCCAAGGTTGAAGCAAACCAAGTGCAAATGCCATACCAGTGGTAGTAAATGGTAGTAATAGTAAAAAGACAGAGACAGCTCAGAAGAATGGTAGGCAAGGATTCACAAGGAGTCACTAAGGAGTCACTAAGGAGTCGCTAAGGAGTCGCTAAGGAGTCACTAGTCACTAAGGAGTCACAGAGGACTCACTAAGGAGTCACTAAGGAGCCACTAAGGATTCAAGAAAGGCATCCTGCGAGAATACAAAGTCTTGACGGCTACAGCTCCGCATTGGCTTCTGCTGGCAAAGGGTCCTGGATGGCATCCTCAACTCCGTCTGCTTGGAAGATCTTCAAGGCATCTCTTTTTTTGAGAGACTGCAGCAGCAGCTGTCCGAAGCAAGCAAAGCACAAGGATGAGACATCAAGAGACCTTGAACATCGAAGTTGAGCTTCAGTGCTTCAAACCGCTAAACCCGGAAACCCAGCGCCTTTGTTCCTTTGCCTTCAGATGCTGCAGCCTGATTTGCATTGAAGACTACAACAATCAAACAACAATGGACAGGTGCAGCAAAAGTTTGGTCTGGTTCATCAGGGTGAGCAAGTGCCCTTGCTGTTGTGCTCTGCACTGTGCAAGGACACCTAGAAAAAAAACGTCAAAGGTGTACAAAAGTGTCGCAAAATGCAACATCAAACCTACTATGAACCCTTAACCTGACTTCATCACCTCTTGCTCGTCCAGGTGAAATGTCTTCTTTCTTGTCAAAGAGAAAGTGAACCCTGCTGCCTAGATTCAAATAGATCTTAATATTTAATGTTGTACATGATTGCACCCATGAGCTCAGAGAATAAGGCCAAGCACAAGAACACAGCAGGCATGACAAGAGTCTGTGACGGCTTCTATCCAGCCTAACTGATATCTGCGCTATGACTGGTTTCAGCCAAAACTTTCTCAATTATTGCCAGCCCCAGAACTGTTGTGGATTGTTCCAGGAACTTCTAGCTGCTAGCTTGGTTAATAATGAAAATGATTTTGGCAGAGTTGCACTGCTGATGCTGATTTCTGATCATACAGCAAAGTCAAAGGCACCAGCCACATGGAGCGAAAGCAGGAGCTTCAAGAATGATGCATTGCCGACTTTCTGACTTGCTTTACTCCCATGGTGCTACTTGACGATGATGGGTACGCTTCCATTCCAGGATGATTTAGAAGCATCACCCTGCCTTTGCAAGAGCAACCAACTCGGACATCGAGACTTGACCGTTGCAGTCTTCATCGAGCGCCTTAGTGCAGCGCGGTGCAGCTGACACTTGTTACTGCCTCGAGGTGTCACTGCTAAGGCCTCAAGGCAACAATCGTGACAGTATTACCCGTGCTTTTTTTGTTTGCTTCCACCAAGGCTCAAGAAACAACTGTCTGCTTGGTCCAACGTCAGCCTCCCCAAGCATGCAAGCTGTCCTTAGGTTGTTGATTTGTCCAAACATATGAGAGCCAAACAACACCATCATCTTTGAAGACTTCTTTTTCAATAGGCCCTGCTTCGGTTTTCTACCCTGTTTTGGCGAAGGAAATAATTTGGTTGTATCTTTCCTTGTATATGGCACATCTAGACGACGAATACCTGCTTGATCCCTTCCCGTGGCACAGCCATCCAGCCAAAGTGATACACGGGAAATGTCGGGAAATGCTTGCACCCGAACACCCTCTCTTGCTATGAAAACACCTTTCCAGCTCACAGCAAAACTCAGCAAGACTGCAAAACAAATCCCCATTGCAATTAGAACCCACTGCACTTTGCCATGTGCAGAAATGAGTCAAATGGGAGACATTGAACGAACACAAGGACCAAAAAAACCCACGGTTATGCTGAGTACACCGCTGCTGCTGTCAAACTTCCAAGCAACTGCTGAAGTTCCAAGAGTCCAGAAGCACAAAAACTTGATACCAATATATGCTATATAGTATCATACATCTCCCATGTTCGGAGGCTTTATGTATCTTTCTGTGATTTTGGAACACTCAAGGCTTTCGTGCATTCAGAGTACAATTATGTACAATTTACCTCGGCAAAGCAAGAAAAACAAGTCATAAGTCCCTCAAGATTGCCGGGACTGAGTTGGCTTTTGGCGTTGTTTGGGAAGAGAATGCTGCACCTTTTGACGCTGGATGCTGCTTTGTTCAAGGCATCGGCCCAGGTAAAGTTAATACATGCAATATGTTGCAATAGGTTGCATATCTCGCACAAACACTGCAATTTGTTTGAAGACAAGTGCTTTTCAAGGAAAGCTGAATCTGCCTCCAAAGCTGCACTTGCTCAAGGAAACGTACGACTTTCTTTCATGGTTCTTACATCTTCCGCGGCTTCCATTTTTACAGCTGTGCTATCTTTCTACAAAATACTGCAGCTTCTCAGGGGATTTTTCCTTCTGCACTTTCCGTGGAATGCTTCCTTCCCATGGTAGTGTTCTCCCTGGTGAGAGGGAGAAAGAAAAAATAAACCGAACATGTGTATATAAATATACTACTATATATATATATATGTATGTATATATATATATGTATGTATGTATGTATGTATGTATGTATGTATGTATGTATGTATGTATATAATATATATATATATATATACACAAGCAAGTTTGCAGTCTCTTTCACACCAATATTCCAATACATATACATTTATAAATCTTCATGTATATGTAGATATCGTTGGAATAACATCTATGATGGGTAAGGCATGCCTGTCGTATGTACAGTAAACGTCATCCCTGCTGAATAACTTGTTCCCCAAACAGCGACGAACCCAAATGCAACGAGGCCCTTGCAAAGAACAAAGATGAAAGCCGACATGAAAAGCTATGCTCATACGTGACACTTACCATATATGCAATCTTCCTACCGAGCATGCTTGAGCTGCAATAAAATTGGACAGATCTTTTGCAGTGGTAAGGTTTAAGTGGGCACTTGATTCATTTCCAGTTTAAAGGTTTGGTTGTTGTTGAGCTGTCCACGTTTCACACAGGTACACTGTCAGCTCTATGAAGAAGTGAAGTTTTTGTGTGATGGTCCGTATCCAGAAGAGAGGGTGACCCAGTAGAGGTCGAGTAGGGTCTTTGCCAACTGGCCGTGTTGGGCAAAACGGACCATACCTAAGATTGCCTTTCAGACTGTTCGTTCAGGCTGTTGCTTCTGAAAGAACAATTGCAACCGCTGAAACCACCGAGAATTTTTTCCACACAAGTCTTGGACAACTTTTTTGGCCCATTTGAATCAAGGTTCATATTCAAACATGCTCTCTTGAATTTGTTCAGCCCTCTGTAGTTCTTGAGCCCCTCAATGTGCTTCTCTTCCTCATCAAAGGACACAATCTGGATTGTCTGAGCAAATTCTTCAGCGACAGAAGCTGGGCCACCAACAATGATGCCTACTGGTAGCTTCGGTGCGTTCTTGATGATGAACTGATGTTGCAGGGCCTTCCATGCGGTCGGATACAGTCTGATGCAATCTCTCTATCTACGTATGGGATTTGACATCCCAGAGCCAGCCAAACGAGGCACCATGCGGCACCATTCTGCACCATGCCAGGCACCTTTACGCAATCTGGTCGGTGGTTGAGGTCTTTGTGCAACATGGCCGAAACCATGTTCACAACATCCTGCAAGTGACTGTATGGGCAGAAGCAAAACTACTCCAACGCACAGCAATAGTAGGAGTGCAAAAACAAGAACGAATGCCAGCGCAATACTGGCACAACACAATACAGCACCATACAGCAACATACATACAACAATATACAACAATACACAACAATATACAAGGATATACAACAATATACAACAACAATATATATATAATATATATAATATATATAATATATATAACATATATAATATATATAATACATAATGTATAATATATATAATATATATATAATCCATGATATATATATAATATATAATATATAATATATATATATATATATAATATATATAAATAATATATATATTATATATATATAAATAATATATATATATAATATATATAACATATATAATATATATAATATTATATATATATATATATTATATATATAATATATATATAATATATATAATATATATAACATATATAATATATATAATATAATATATATATATAATATATATATAATATATATAATATATAATATATATATAATATATATAATATATATATAACATATATAACATATATGATATATATAATATATATAATATATATAATATATAAAATATATATAACATAATATATATATATATAATATATATATAATATATATAATTTATATAATATATATAATATATATAATATATATAATATATAATATATATAATATATATAATATATATAATATAATATATATATAATATAATATATATATAATATATATATAATATATATAGTATATATAATATATATAGTATATAATATATATAATATATAATATATATAATATATATAATATATATAATATATATAATATATATAATACATATAATATATATAGTATATATAATATATATAATATATATATAATATAATATATACAATATATATGATATATTATATATAATGTATAATATATATTATATATTATTTATATAATAATATATATAGATATAATATACATAATATTTACATAATATAATATATATATATGATATATATCTATATGATATATAGAATATATATATATATAATAATATAATATAAAAAATATATATGTTTTTTAAATTACATATATAATATATAAAATATTCTATGTAATAAATCTATAATTTACATAATATATGTATATTATGTATTATTATATATCATATATTTTGTATATAGACATACAATAGACATACAATAATTACAACAATATACAACAATAATATACAACACATGATTTAGCATATGTTCACCGTTACAACCTGCAAAACACAGTGAGGTGCAAAGCACTGCACGAAGAAACGTGCAAGGAGTCCTGGCCAGCATTCACCCACGCCTCGAAGTGTCAGAGTAGAAAAACATCGAAAAAAACAGGCACGAGTGACTCAGAGTGACACGAGACGAAAACGGTTTATGCCTTTGACTCTACATCCTTTGACCAGTTTTCATAATTTTCTTATATATATAATCAATGTTGAGCATGTTTTCAATTTTGAGTTCAGACTATGAGGCGGGCAAGCAAAAGCCAGCAATTTTGCTGTGGACAAATCAATAAACAAACTGTAAACAAACTAAACAAACCAATAAACATGATGGACATTGATGGACTGTGGTTATCTGTTGTTGCTTTCGGCCAAGGGACAGCGGATGAAAATTGAAGCCGAGATTTTGAGTTCTCTTCCGAAAGCCCAGCCTTTCAAGCGATCAGCCGATCATCCCTTTCCAGATCACACCGACACTTCTACAAAATTCTACAAACACATGACATACACATGACATACAAACACCTTAAAACGCCGTTGGACGTGACATGTTCATCTTGTTCGCATGTAATCAATTGTAATCATATGTCTACATAACTTTTCGAACATCACAAGCTGCAAAAATTCGCAAGCTGCCAAACAAGTTGCCGCGCCACAAAAAAAATGTTAGACATATTCTGAACAGCTGAGGCCTGTCCAAAAGGCAAACGTCTCGACCTTGATTGAAATCTGACTGTGCCAAAATGTTCAAAACGTGCCACTGGCAGTTGCTTATTGAAGGGCGGCAGCCGAATCGGGAACCAGGAATCAGAACCAACACAGACAAGTCAGGAACCAGAATCGGGAGGGGGCCAAGAACACTGAAACGCGAAAAAGGGAACCAGAACCGGGAAGCAAGGAACGTTAATAGTTCCCCACCCACCCACCCACCAACACCCCATGCTGGAAATCCGCTCGCTGATTCGTGGTATCTGATTCGTGGTGTCTGATTCGGCCCTTTGGTGTCTGAGTCGGAGTTTTCTCGCTTGTTGAAGATGATTTCATGAGAAGATTGGTTCAGAAATAATCAAGTCAAACAACAAGACTGAATAGACAATGACAATCACGAACGCTGCCAAGCATCATGAGCCAGTAGAGCATAACACCAACGCTGAAAATATCGCAAGACCTTTTGGCATGTTGGCAATCAGCACAGCATGTCACCCACCATTTGTTTGATCTTTGTTTGCAAGAAAACGTCACAGCTTTGAATTCATAAACAGCTGCACTGACTTAGCCGTTCTGTGGTTGCAGTGCTTGGCGTAGCACTCTGTGTAATTCTTCGTGAACACCTGTGAACCAAGGCTGTCAATACTGGGCACAAGAAGGAAGTGGAAACAAAATCAAAACCTACAGCACTTTTGAGCACTTCAGCGCTGCCGATCACTTGCCTCTGGAGCCATGTGACTTGGCGTTCCACACCTGTCGGAACTTTGGAAACGCCCGGCAGTGCCCCCTTCTCCAAGTGCCAGAATCGCCGGGAAACTTTTTGGAAACTTGTTGGGATTCCAAGGTGGCCAAGCCTTTGCGAAAGAGGCACACCTTTCTTGAATGGGCAGGATAAGCCATAGTCGCCTTGGACAGGAAAGCCAATTTTGAAGCTCCAAAGAATCAGGTCTTTTCAGTCCTATTTCAATATATTTCAACATACTGTAGTTATTCAAAGTGTTTGGTGCAGATGAAATTTCTGCACCAAGAATTCATTGAAATCCAGAACCAGGACAGTTTCAGCTGGAGCTTTGGCTCTAAAAATGCGCTTTTGCTGTTCCAAAGTACACTTCTTCAGTGCCTTCTAGACTATCTAGACTGGGAAGAGAATATCCTATTTTTTTTAAACATCCTGAAACATGTCCAGCCTGGATTCTGACTTAGACAAAGCACCACTTCTCAGCTTCAGTGACTGGTTGGCAACGGTTGGCACTCAGTCACAGTCGTCCGACACATGAGGCACAAGTTCTGGAAAGATTGGAAAGTTCCTTCAAAAAGTCAAAAAAGTCTTGGGTGTTCGAAGGTCTGCGGCTTGCATGAAAGTTTAATATCATGCTCGCTAGAGCCTGTATACTGTATACAGGCACGATACCAAATTTGGAGTCAGCACGGCTCACAGCAACAGCTTCCCCATGTGTTTCCCTTTCAGAAATGTCTTGCTGGCCGAAGACATGCCGATCCACAGAGGGCGCACACAATGGAAGCAGCTCACTGTTTTGGCGCTGGAATGGGGAGCTGTAAGAGACAAAGGACAGACAGACAAACAAGGATGAAAGATGATGAAAGTGAATGAATGCCCGGCGAATGCCTTCTGAATACCTGGCAAATACGGCACCTGTTTCAGTCCCGTGGCATTGCCACATGGCCTGTGATTTGCAAAGCTCTGCATGAACTTTGTTTCGGGGCAACCACCCAGTGACATCTTGCTAGCATGACTTGCTGTAGCAAAACAGACAGGTGCTATGGGGTGTTTGCTGGCTAAACAAACAAAGATACGAGGCAGAAGAGATGGGATCCTGAAGTGACACATTGCTTCGTTGGTGAGAAGAAAGTTGTGGACTACGCATCTACACATTCTACACCAATGTACAAAGGTGGGAAAACATCTTGGAGCTCTTTTTTCCATGTGATTCCTTGTGCGGGAACTCCACAGACCTCATGCATCGACACCTTCGCACTGCTTTACAAGGGGGCGCGTTCTTCCAAGGTCAAGCATCCCAGCATTCCCACACTCGTTTCTCTGCAATACCTAAATTTAAAAGCCATGCAAGGCTTTACATCATTGTACATCGGCAACCCATACTTGCTTCCAGCACTTCGGAAAGCAAAGTCAGACAGAACAGCTTCCAAAAGCTTGACTTTGCTCATGACTGCCCCACCGTTCCCACCGTTCCACTGTTCTAGACAGGTCGCTGACTTTGACTGCCTGGCGCTCGTCGAGACCACAAGGCAAAAGCAGAAGGCAGTTGGGAGCTTTGATGTCTCGGTGCACGATACCTTTGCCTCAGAAGCTCAGTGACACTAAGAGCGCAAGTGGAGGCACTATGACTTGAGCTGTTCCAACAACAAAAGCAGCAACAAGTTCCGATCAATGGCAAACTTTGAACACTTGAAAATGCCAAGCAGCCATGTAGATACCGGATTGCAGAAAGAACATGCTTTGTTGCAAGAGCAGCCTGTTCACAGCAGAGGCATGACAAAAGTACAACTCTGCAAACGTCCTGAACAAGAGACCTTTGTCTGGTAGGGTACGTAGTGTGGTGTATGCTTTGTATGAACTCTCAGGAAAATAACTGCCTCGGGTTCCTTCAGGCTTCCATGCTTTTCTACCTCAAGATCAGGAGACTCAACACCCATGAAGCCTTACACCTCGTGTACGCGGCTGTGAGAAATGTCAAATGCTTGGCTTCCCGTCATATCCTTCAAGCTCTCCGCCGCTGCACAGCTCAAGCACCTCAATGTTGACTTTTGACTCCAAGAGTCTTGCAGAAGAGACTAGAACGTACCACATGGCTACCAATAAAGCGCGAAGCAGCTGGGAGGCACAAGCAAGCACAAGCAAGCAGGCACAGGATCATCTTGAAAATCCTAAAATCATATCCAGTGTCTTGAATCGGAGTCAATCGGATTGATTTGAGTTTTTCTGGGGCTTCGGCGAGAGAAAGTGTGTCTGAGTCTTCGAAAATCTCAAACAGAGTCACTACATTCGGGTGATCTAACCTCAGAGACGGTGTGAACCTGTGTGTTGGATTTCAAGACGGGAATTCAGTGAAAGCCAGTTGGAGCAAACACAGCATATTGGGAAGTGCAAGTTTTTAAACTCGTAGACGACTCGCTCTGAGATGCAGAGACGGCAAACCATTTTAAGAAAACAAAACAAACAAACCGCGTGTCTCTCAGCTGGACACATCTTCATAACTTCAATCCTCGGACACCACAGATCGTGTATGTATATATATATACAGTGTTACAGCATTACATACTGCATAATTTTCTAGAATTCGATGACTTCGTTCTTGCAGGAGATACAGTAATGCAGACAAGTATCTCGGCCTTCAAGAGTCCTGGATTGTTTTTGTCCTGAGTCTACAATGAGTTCACCAAAGACAAACAAAGCTCATACAAAGTTCATGGGTCGATGCAAAAAAGAAAAGTCAGGCAGAAAATCTGCTGGTTCTGGCTTACTTGGCCTTACTTTGCAGTGAAGCCGCAGACTTGGAGATGATTTTCACGGCTCGCTTTGCACCAGTGACTCTCACCGTGGCTTTTCTCACTTCCTGAAAATTATATACACATCCAGGTCACATGGGTGCCCAAAAATCCCACGGAGACAAAGCTGAGCGCCAAATCAGAGTCTCCGACAGCAAATCCGCCTTTTCCAAGTGCCACCGCTTCCACGTCATAGTTGTCTGCAAGCTTGCCTGTAGTGCCACTATTCGCTCACCGCTAGTCATGTCTCCCGGTCAGCTGATGCAAAAGGGAAGCAGCGCCTCTGTTGTCTGGTACCACAAGCAGCGCTGCTGAAGGCACAAATCCCATCCTGGAGCTCCATAGTGAGGGAGCATCAATTGTTTGTTCATGAAAAGGTTTAAAATCGTTGGCACAGAAAAAACAAGTCATCCTTCATCCCTGCAGAAGAGCAGAAATGAGAAAGATAAAGTCTATCATGCATTCACGCAAACGTGGACTTTATCGAACTTTGATCCATTTTAAGCACACTTCTGCCAAGGTGCGTATCGGTCATCTTCAGTTTCTTTTGTTTCATTCGGTTCTTTCTTCTGCCTAATACAGAATGCAGACATGTGAAGCAACAAATGAAATGGCAACAAAGCAGAGCTTCGAGGGTTGGCCGGGAATATCAATCAACCAGCAAAACACCTACTGAATTAGTTGAACCAATCGATCTACCTGAAAAAGTGAGTCAACAGACTTGCTCAAAATCCTTCGTTTGGCCAGCGGTGTGTCATCTACCTGATCTTTCAATTACTCCTTCTGGTTTGGGCTCAAAGAGTGACATCCTTTGTTGCATCCTTTCAAAAATGTGAACAAAGTTTGACATGTTTCTTGAAATGTTTTCTGATGAAAGAGAGTTTTCAGATGGTTTCTGCTGAGACTCTTGGCGCCGAGCTGATGGTATCTTCAGACTTCGGACTAGTTTCTGAGCCGACACCTCGTTGTGCCCCACTGTGTCCAAAGAGGTTCAGTCCGTCGGTGTCCAGAAGTTAAGAAGCTAAGAGATTCAGTCGGAATTACATAATGATTAATTTAATGTCCCGGAATGTACATATTTGCATGGAATGTTGGAATGTCCAGAATATTTTGAATCCAACTGATCCAACTTTCGTAGGTGACCTTACCCAACTCCACTTACCGCGAGACCTTTGATCATGGAAAGGTTTGAATCTAAAACATGCCATGAATCCTGAGTTCTGCCAGTTATGCGTTGCCATTCCCGCTTTCAACCCTGATGTCGGATCAAGCGTCAAATTGATTGAAATTGCTATCTGCAGCAATAATTCGTTCTCTCGTCAGAATAAATGGTATCCGGCCCAAATGTCAAACCCAAGTCTTCCCTCAATAAAAACCTTGTGCACTTCTCAAACAACACACTGCAGCACACTCGAAATTGACTTTCTTTGCTCAGAAAGGACCAGAAAGGACCTTCGAATCTGTGTGGAATCTATATTCCTCTCTGCATATACATAGTTTTGCTTTGCTTTTGCAGATTCGCTTTGTATGTCCTCTTCGACACAGCGCCCCATGTGTGGCTTTACATTATCAGGTCTTAATCCATGCAAGGGTTTGATTCGTTCACCTATGTTCACCTGATTTCACGCCGGCTTATCTATGCTTATCTGCTGTTTGTGTCTCGCCCTTGGGCGTGAGCTCAAAATCTTCAAAAGCGACACAGCAGAAAGCGCCACCAGCACCTGTTGGCTCCTTGTGCTTCCCTGAATGATTCCCAATTGATATTTTTTTGTTACAATTGTTTCACTTCGTATCACGTTGTATCACGTTGTATCCCTTCGTATCACTTTGTATCAATTTGTATCAATTTGTATCTGAGATCCAGGCTTGAGTTGCAGACACTAGTATCCTCTGCGTCGACTAGAGCTGCAAGATCACCAGCGTCACTGAAGCTTGCCCCACTGGCTTGACTTCCCTGCGCTTGAAACAAAAGTCCTTCTTGGAATCGGACACCCATCAGTCAGACGAGTCAAATGGATTTTAAACGGATGTTGGTTGTTCGTGGTGTTCGTGGTTGTTACATCCGTTCCCTGTTGCGAAATGGCACGATGAAGCATACATTTTGCACCTCTGACAGCGCACAAAACTGGCAGAACACACTCAACACACTATGCCTCTAGGATGCAATCCTGTGAGAGGCTTAGACAGGTTGAGGCGAGGAGTACGCAATCATTCTTCAGGCCTTTTCTTATTGTAATTACTGTGGCTTTGAAACATGGTGTGCCAAGTCATGTCATTCACTTAGTGCGAGATCAAGGACGTCAACATTTTGTGAGTCACACCGAAAGCAATTTAGCCATTTTGAGTCACTAGATGCAAATTGCAATGCAACTTGCGATGGGTTTTCAAGTGGAGGCAGCACCTCAACCTTCTCATCGCCGCTGCCTATGCTAGGCTCTTCGGGGGCTGCCTGTCGCTGCTTCTTTCCCCCAACCATCCCTTGTTTGATATCCAATACTGTCACAGACCGTTACAGACTATCACGCTGCCGCCGGCAATTGTGTCGGAATGTCAGACATACCTCGTAGCATCCTACCTGCAGAAAAGTATCGTTGGCAATTCTTTGGTATGTCCTATTCTTGTTTTGGGTTCAAACCAGCTAAGTTTCTCTCTTGGACCTGCAGCTAGTCCTCCTTCGGCTCACTTGGTTTCATTTGGAGTTCACTTTGCAGTTTATTTGGACCCTCATGGCCCTCCTCATCTTTCACTTGACCCTGTGTCCCCTTCCTCAGCTTTCGGTGCTCCGCGCCTTGCTCTTTGATGTGGGTGATAGTCCCTGTGCACGTCGGCTTTGCTTTCAAAGTGTCATGACGGTGCTTCGAAAGACTAAGACAGGAAGACTGTCGACTGTGACACAACAATTACATCTACTTATATAACATCATCTGCATACGTCGACTGTCAGGCTTCAGTCACCTCATGTCTAGCACATCCTCCCCAGTCAGCCTCAGGGAAGTCTACATCGTCGTCTGCAACAGTTTCAGGCTCCGGTTCGAAGGCCTGTCAGAATTTGTTGCAATTTGTCTGCATAAGTCCAGGATCCATCAATCTGCAGGAGCATCAGCACAAAACATGAAACAAAGGCATCAAGTGATTCCTGCTGTTATTGGACTGCTGATTGCCGATCAAACCTGTGTCTAAAGTCATTCTACAAGTCGGTCAAAAGGACTCCAGCAATGCAAGGAACAAGGGGCATAGGTCCCTGAACAATAGGATGTTTTTTTTCAAACAGTGGTGCCATTTCCCGTTTCTGGTCACAAACCCTGCATCTTTACCCTGCAAAAACGACGGAGGTTGCTTGTGGGTTGCCTGTGGGTTGCTTGGGACCTTTCTTTCAGACCAAGCCTTCCTTCGTACATGAGAAGACCCAAGACCTAACTAAGCCTGATCCATGAAGAGGCTTGGCCTCTCGTTGCTGCGGTAGGTCCTTGTCCTTCAAGCAATGCAAAAAGATCGAGGGTTTTCCATCCACATTTGCAAACTGCTGAGTCAAGGAAGAATCTATCTGAAACTATTTGAAGTAGATAAAGATAGATAAAGTACGTGTAAAGTACGTATAAAGTATGCATAAATACATCCAGTAACAAGCATGCCCGCCTTGCACTGGCAATTTCCCATGGCCTCAGGAATCGCAAGCAGCAAAAGGCTGCAAGTGCAGGTCTAGCGCTTTTTTAGGAAAGAGAAAGAATCAGAAGAAAGAAGATGCAGGCGCGCGAAAAGGTAGGAAAGTCGCGAAACACTGTGTTCTTGCAATGACTTGCAACTGGCCAGATGAGAGATGAAAAATTGCACGCCGTTGTGGCGCGAAGCACGTTTCGAAGTCAAAAGTGTAAAAAAACTGACGGGTTCAGAGCACTTTTTGGAAGTTGAGATGTCGAAAAAGTGCACGCCGTTGTGGCGTGAAGCACATTTCAAAGTCAAAATGCTAGAACGCCACATGCTCGGACCACTTTTGAAGGTTCAGATGTGGTTTTGCGTGGCAGGCGCAAGGGATTATGCACCTGGCTCACTTTGGGCGATGGCAGCCTTGTGAAATTTGCAGCGGGTCTGCAAAGATAATTTTCGCGTGGCAATCGCAATACAAGCGACATGTTCATCAGAGATGTTAGGAGGTTGCGGGGCTGATTTCTTGAGAGGGGTTGCATTTTGGAGCATCAGATCTTTAGGTTTGCTAAGATGACTTTGCGTGACAGGTGCAGCACTTCGTATGACCTGGCCTCGCCTTTTTTGTGGCAAGCGCAGCACTTTACACAGATGGAGCGGAAAAATCGCAAAACGCAATGGTACGAGGCCGTCAGCTCTGCACTCAACTTTCCATTTTTAAGGAAGTCTCACAGAGTTGCTTCGTTTTTTTATGTTGTCAACTTCGAAAACTGAGGAAATCTCGCAGAATCGCTTCGTTTTTGAAGTCGTCAATTTCAACAATTGAGAAGTCTCGCAGAATGGCTTCGTTTTCAATATTGGAGAAAGACAGATAGACAGACAGATAGATAGATAGATAGATAGACAGACAGATAGATAGGTAGGTAGGTAGATAGATAGATAGAAAGATAGAACGATAGGTAGATAGACAGACAGACAACTAATTACACCTGCAACTACAATTGCAGCCACACGACACTACCACTACAACTACACATGCAAAAACAGATATACTACGCTACAGTTCACTAATTACACTACACTACACTAATTTCAGTACACTACACTACATTACACTACACTACACTAAACGAATTACATTACACTACATGTCGCTACATTGCACTACGCTAGACTACAGCTACAGCCAGGCTACACCACATTACACAACACTACGCTACACTAATTACACTACAATTACAACTCCAACTACAACTACGGCTACTACCACAACTACAACTACCACTACAACACGACTACAACTTCAACTACATTGCAACTACAACTTCAGATTCGAATACATTTTAGCTACACTTCAACTACACTTCAACGACAAGTACAGCAACTACAACAACTACACTACAACTGCAACTGCAACTACAACTGCAGCTACAACTACAACTACAACTTCAACTACAACTACACTACAACTACAAGTACCACTACACTACAGCTACAACTGCAATTACATTGCACTTCGCCACGCCACACTACATCCTGCAGTTGTGGGTGAGGCGACCGCTGCAACCACTCCAAAAATCACAACCACCTTTCGGCGCATCAATGGATTCGCTCTGCCATCCATGCATCACAACAAGTCACCTCTCCTATAGTTTCCTATCTTTGAAACTTCCGCCACCGCCTTGTGCGGTACTACTGGTATGTATATACATGTGTACATATATATATATACACACACACACTAGACGACGGTTGGCCCGAGAGCGAAAAAGACGTTTTTCAAGCAGCTCTGAGTAAGGTAGTCGGAAAAAATAGTCGGTGAATGGTTGGTGAATGTTGGTGAATTTTATATGAGCTATGGAGGGATAATGTGTGAAAAGTAAGATTGATTAAGAAGAGGATACTTGTGACAACCCATGCATATGCATTGTGCTGCTTAGTAAAAGGCATCAGATGACACGTGTCTTGCAACCACAGAGAGACATAGATAGAGAGAAAGGGAGGGAGGGAGGGAGGGAGGGAGACAGGGAGGGAGACAGCAAATAAAATTTGTGAGCAGCCAGCTGCCATTCATTGATGTTTTCTTTGCTATCGCTTGTTCTGTGCGAGATTTCAATTATATATTATCACTTGTGTGGCGTATAGGATTTTAGACACGTACCAACTAAGACTACGCTTGCAAGCATTGGAAATTAGTTGCTTTGAAGGTCATTCATTCAGAATGAATGACGTTGCCTCACAGGTTGCGAGCTCTGTAGCAGGCAGCGAAGCTTTAGTGCGCTGTGGTGTTTTGCAAGACCAGATCAACAAAAACTGCGACTCAGCGTTCTAGCAACACGATTATGAAGCCAAGGTCTGTTGATTCTGTCATGGGAGTTGCTCTATATGTGTTCTGTTGCAGAATGTTGCTATGCATATGTCACTTATGCAACAACCCACAGGACCCCACAGGAATTGGTGCTCAAGAACCAGAACTCTCATCACTCTATCACGCTGGTACCCACAAACCCCAAACCCAGCCATCAAGAACAAGCCGAATCGTCTTTCCCTGCAATATCCCGCCTCATAAGCTATTGCATGGCAACCACGGGCAACGGAAAGTTTTTCTTGAGATGTGAATTTGGTTCTATAGCTTGAATTTGCTGCAGAATTGACTCTTATGATCTTAGCCGTGGTCCCTCAAATCTTTGCCCTGCAGATGCGTTGAGCCAATACATTCCAAGATTCAAGAAAGTCTGGAAACCAAGTGAACACCTCACAGCTGGGACCAAGTAGGCAGGATGACCCGTACCTGGCTTCTAGAGCACCTAAGCAACTCTGCTAGAATGAAGCGCCTCGAGATCGAGATCCACCTTGTCCTTGCCACAAATGGTGAATTGTTGCAATGAAGGACAGGGTAAGCAGACACGGCCGCACCTGCGCACCTGGATGAAGCACCTACGGAACCGTTTCTTGGAACGTCAGACATCCAAACTTGATTTCATTCCGATTCAGAGAAAGCACTGCTCAAAGACAATGTTTTGCTGCTTACAGCTCAAACCAAAACAAATGACAAACAGCTTCTAACTGCCTTCACAGCCACATTCCGAGGTTGCTCAGATGCCACATCCTGCGAAAGCAAAACGGCACAAACATCAGCCTCGGGAATCGAAGATGCTCGACACATGCTTTGCATGCTGTGCTGTGTGTGTTTGTGTACCATCTGAAGATGTAAAACTTCTTGGCATTATAGTTTCTTTGTACTGAATTCTCTGGTTAGAGCAGGGGGACTGGAGCCGATTTGCCTAGCCAGTCCAATGAAGTTATGGCATTTCGTTGGATGAGTGGTCTGATCAACCACTTGTACCTGCTTCAATGTTCGTTCAATTGTTAATGGCAAGCGGCTTAGCCGAGAACTGCCCAGTCGTTTTTTCGTTGCACGGTTTCCACAATCTGAATTTATCCATCAAGAATCGCATCAGGATCTCAAGTTCGATGTTGAGCATATGGACGGATGAAGGTTATTTTTTCGTCAATCTGGTTTCCTTGCTACACGGAAGAGCAGGGCTTCGCTTCCAATTCTCCTCTTTCGGATTCTGTTTTGAAGCTGTTGTTCTGCATGGAAGATGCACGTCAATATCTAATACAAAAGGAAGTCTGAGCAAGTGTGTGTGTGTGTGTCTGTCTGTCTGTGTTGCCCTCTCTTCTGCCTCCCTCATCGATGACCCTCCCTTTCCTGTAGCAATGTTTCGCCTGAAAGGGGTTCCGGCGACAAACCAAGCTTTCCCAAAGCATGCTGCGTGTTATTGTGACAGGTCCTGTTTGGTCGGCAATTGTCCTTGTAATGGACCTACGACAGCAATGAGACCACCACACAGTCAGCCAGATAGGCCCGTTCAAACTGCAGTTGCTGCAGCTACAAGCATGTAGACACATGCTTCATACATACACAATTTACACACACACTGTAGATATAAGATTGAGAGAGTGCTTCATCAACTATACCTAATACCTTTGCACTGTAACTACTGTATCTGTATAATAATAATTATATATTAATAATTATTATTGTATATATAATATATCTTAGCCTGGTCCTTGCTGCATCTTGCCCTGGATTACCACTGAACAGGACGCAGAAATGAGATCCAAGGTTCCAACCGTGAAGACAACCTCTGTGGACTTGGGCCATGCAACCAGAACCCAATGGCTCGGCTTCCTAAGAGAAAGAGACGTGTAACTTGAGCACCGAGGCACCGAGACACCTCATAATAAGCCTTAAGCTGTAAGCTGTGCGCACATGGAACTTTAAAAAGTGAGCCCAATGAATTTCTGTATGTTCAGTCCATTCAGTCCAGGCAACGAGTTGCAGCGAATTCTCCCAAGCGGGTCCAAAAGTTTCGGTCAGGATCCTGTCCAAATTAGGGCACCAAATTCTGCAATTTGTGTTGACCTTCTGGAGACCTTGTGCACAACCTGCCTCTTGGTTTGCCGGAAACTGTGTGGCCTCACGCTGGCCTCCAGTACATTGGGGCTCTGAATCTTTAATTCAGAGTAACATTTGTAACATGCGGAGCAACATCGAGGAACAATGAATCCCAGAATTAGACATGAAGGTTATTGTAGGTTCTCAAATGGAAGTCTCAGGGCCTGTAAAGGAGAGAGATGGTCACAGACCTTGGATTTCTGATACTCCAAATGCTGTGGCGGAAGATCTGGTGGGAGATTATGTCATGCCAGAAGCTTGTTTATGAGGAAAACCTTGAAAATGATTACTGTGATTACTGTTGCTCCAAAGTTGTCACAAAAAGCTCCCCTGAAGCATATTGTTTTGAAAAACTGCATTTGTTCTCTGCTGATCTGCACAAAGAACAACCATTGAATTTTGAATTCACCATCAGCTTGGTAAATTTTCTTTGCTGCTGCTCTTCCTTCATCTGCGCTTTTGTCCAGAATCCCCAATGCATTGTGGCAAGATGCACTGCGAGGCAAGATGTCAGGTCTGGTAGATGCCCACTGAGCAAATTTGATTGCTATGGGTCCTTCTGCCTCCAAGAAGGAAAACACATGCTGCTTTAGGAATCAAAATCAAAATACAAAACAGCAAACATACACAAATTGAACCTACAAGATCGCTCAAAATGTCTCAAAGTCACCAAGAAAAAACAAGGATTGCGTGAAAAAAACTCTGCACCTGCAAGGCTGCGAGGATACACCGCCACATCCACCTGTGGTGTTCAGCACATTCCGCTGTGCAGCTGGAATTTCTCAGCTGTTTGGTCGCTGTCTGCTCTTCTGAAAAAGGTACTGACTTCATCAAGTGGCCATCAAAGGTTGCAGTAAAAGCTTTAAATGAAAGGCTTTTCGCGATCGCCGTTGCTGCTTGCAAAGGACTTGTTGTTTTCCAGATGCAAGTTTCGAAAGAAGAGAGGCCTAACTGAACACCCAAGATTAAGTTCCTGGGCAATGATCCAGTTTTTTTGGTATATCTGGAAAGGGGTTGAAATTTTGCCTATACTTACATAGTCATTACATAGTCTATTACTTTTTTTAAAAAAAAACTCCCCGAATCGTGCTTGATTGGCACTGTATGATCTTCATGGTTTTCTATGCACTCGGAGCTTCTCCAAGATTTGCCTTGCAAAGATGAGTCTAGTCTTGTCCACTTTCAAAACGCATCATTGAGAGTTGTGTTCGCAATTCATCCAAGGGTTGCCGGGCCCAGCCTCTCTCCTCCATGCTCCCAACACATCCAGCACAGTGGCCTGGAGAATGGCGGGGCACAACAGGCACAACTCCATTGCAGCTCTTGAGTCTTTCGTTTTTTCCAAGTGATACCACTCATGCTATACTCATGCTATACTCTGCATACTCACGCTGTGTACATTGTCGAACCGCTTCAGAAGCAACAGCCAGTCCAGTGCTGGGTGCAATGCGCCAGAGTGAGCAAAGGCATGGCCCTTAAAGCAAGTGTCAAGCATCGCACCCATACCTGCCACCGTCACCAGGCAGAATATGATCATTAAGAAGCTGGACTGAGAGACTTTGGCCATTTTTGCCATTAATTTAATAACTTTAATAATCATTATATTAAATCACCTACTTTCAGAGCATCCAAGCAATCCCAAACAAATTTCACCCATTGCTGAGATCAAATTCAGAGGCTGCGTGCTCGGAACCAATGCCACAGGTGCCAATGCAAGGGTCGCCTTGGCCTTGGCATCTTTGGAATTCCTTCAGCATTGTAACACGACTTTGGAATCCGAAACGCTGCGACAGCCCAATGTCTTGCTTGAGGACATGGCGCGGCATGACGCAAAGGCATTGGGTTTGGCGAGTGGCCCTAAGGTTGCTGCAAAATGTGCGAAGTGAAACTTGAGAAGGGGATCAGCAAATTGAGTAATGAGTTGGTTGGGCACTCTTCTGTCATGTATATTTGTCCGGGACAAAAAAAGGTAGGCACAGGCCGTCTAAGGAACTGAGTTGAAAAAGTATTGGGGTTATAAATTAGGGTGAACAGTAGCTGGGATGCTGTGAGGACGGGTGCAGATGTGGAAGGAACAGCAGGCAGACCGCAATCACCCATATGAAAATCAATCACACATGTTACTTGCAACATTCCATGCATCCATGCATGCGCCTGATGAAGAAAATCAGGCATGCCATTTTGCAAGCGGGTGTGACATACTTTAATGTATATATATAATGTAATATATATATATTACATATTGCATATAACATATTAATTATATATTATATATTATATTATACATATACTGTATTATGTATTAAATAGTTTATATTATATATTATATATTATGTATTATATACATTTTAATATACATTTTGCATTATTTAGTACATTGTATTGTATTGTATTATATTATATTATACTATGTTATACTATGTTATACTATATTATATTATATTATATTTTATTTTATTTTATTATATTATATTTTATATTATATTATATTATATATATTATATTATATATATTATATTATATTATGTTATGTTCTATTATGTTATACTATACACTATACTATATTAAATATTACATTACATTGTAATATCTACAATATCTACAAAATAAGTCAGTCACCGGCTCACTTGAATGTTGGGGTGGTGCTCCTGGGACCATACCTCCACAGTGGCCCACAGTTTTGCTGCAGTGATTTGCATGTCTTCCATCGACACACACACACACACACCACCCACCCACCCACCCACCCACCCACCCGCGCGCGCGCCCACATACCATACTAGAATTACTAAGAATCAAGTACTGCACACCTCAAACAGACAAACACATCTCCCTCATTCGACGCTTATGATTGATGAGAGATAATACCATACAATAATTCATCCAGCCAAGAAAAACTTTCAAGTTCACCTGGATACACGCCCATGTTGCCGACAAACTGCCCAACACAATACAATACACTGTGAGTCCGACAACTGCCCACAAACTGATTCACTCAACAAGCCCAACACCTCTCAACCAGGCAAGAAAACCTTGAGCCAAGCCCAAAGCTTGCCACCACATCATGAAAATGCGACGTTAAACGACTAACTGACTCTAGTGAATTATTTTCGATCCCCCCAAGGCATTTCGTGTACAAGAGTATTTGGCACTCAGGTACCCTAGACTCCCCAGACTACCCCTAGTGTACAGCGCAAAAAGCGCCGAGAATTTGGTAAGCGGCCTCACCAGAGTCGCAGTGAAAGGCTGAATCCTGTTTCAGCAGAATGATTGCCACGAAAAAAAAAATGCAGCCTTCGACTCTGTCTGATTCAGAGTCAGCACAAGCTGGCAGGCCACAGGTTTGCTTCGCATCCCTTCAAGAGGGCAGTTCAAGCTGAAAAGAAAAAGCGATGCCTTGATCGACCCAGCGCAAAGGACCTGAGCTGGCGTCAAGGTCGATACACTTGGAAAATGCTTGAAGAGTGCCTGGTTCGGGTGGATAAATGATGGTGTCAAGTCTGATGGATCCCTTTTTGACAGCTATCATTGGTTCGGTCTTGCCACTGTTGAGTATACAAACAACAATGATTCATTGATGGCCATGACCGACTCAAAGTCTTAACGACTCAGTGACTGCAATGTTCATGCAATCATACCTGCATGAAAATAAAAAAAATGAAAACACATGGAAAAAATGAGGAAAAATACTGCAGAAAGCTTGTAATGGGATACCCTAGAGGAATACTGTGAAGGAACACCGTGAAGGTGTAAAGGAATATGTAAGGGAGCATTGTGAAGGAACGTTGTAAAGAAGCACTCTGGAGAAACAAATAAATAAATAAATACATAAATACATAAATACATAATTGTAGATATATATATATAATATATATACATACACAATTACTGATACTGTATGTTCATAGTCTATTCAGAGTCTTTTAGCCTTAGTTTGGTGGCTGAAGTGATCAATAGAGGGTGATAGAAGGTGCTTGTCCTGGGAAACAAAACAATGACAACGTGCAGCCAGCCAGGACCGACTCAACCCCATAAACCGTGCGCAAAGCAGTCCCAACATGAACCAAACACCGGCTAACCATCGCATCACCCGCACAGCAAAACTCCCTGCGCGACGCAATTCACCATAGCTCATGCACGAAAATCCCATGCCCGCCTCCCCTTTCTTCAAAACTCTAGCAGATCATGGAAGCGAACTGCCGCTTGAATCGTTTCAGTGTGACAGTCTGACAACTACAGTACCATTCGCTTGAAACACAGGACATCTGTCCGGAAATTTCTTGTTCAGCATTTGGTTCGGTGCCCCACTCCAGTGCCAAGCGCCACTGCCTTCAACCTCCGCATTGTAGACGTCCTCAAAACAAAATATCTCCAGACTAAGAGCCAAAAATCGGAAACCTATGGAAATAATTTACAACGCGACATTTCTTGCATCTTATTGCCACTATGAGGAAGCACTTTTGGGCTTTCCAGGATCTCCTGAAATTGGATCATTTGTTGAAACCTTTCTGGGGCCAGACAGCCGGTCCTCTCTCGGAATCCATGGGCCACGGCCGAACGCACTCCATAGCGGAGGCACGAGGAGTACATGTTGGAACTATGGACCTGGTGCACCTGCACCCTGAAACAAACTCAGAGCCCACTGCATCGTCACTTGCATTTGGACACTTTTTAACTCCAAAGACCTCCACCCTGAACAAAATATCCACAGGCAATCAATAAATGTGCCCCTGGGAGCAACCCTTTCAATTCTGCATATTGTGTGCCCTCCTCACTCTTGGGCTTTGTCTCACATGAGAGGTAGACGAAGCATTCCGTGCGAGAAACCATGAATGAATAGTCAATTACCGAGCATGACTCTATGCAACACAAGACTAATTTGATTATTCTCTACTGCACGGCACGAGACTGCACTTCCATCTTGGAGCCGTTGCCTGCCACGTTCACTTGCACTTGACCGACATCTCCCACGCACAGGCTGCAAAATCTGTACCGGGAAATGTTGCGACCGCGCGTGCAACAAAACTTAGACACTCAAGAGACACTGCACTGGTGTATGGCAAGTCAAGTCCTGTATTGTGCAGTTTGCACAGAACATCAGCAGCCAAAAAATATTGAGCAACTTCTACGTTCTACGATGTCAAATCTTGCCCACCTTCCTCGTCTCAACCTTCTGTGCCGCTGTAAAAAGATCAATTTGTGGCATTCTCCAAAGGATTATTCTAGGACTTGTTTGGATTTTGGTGCAGCACAATCTGCGGCCTATTTTCCATTGCATGCCCCATGTCTAAACATCACAATTTACAGTCCTCTAGAAAATTCAATCTCCCCACTTGAAGTCCACTCCATGTCCTCTTAAACGATGCTCATTCTGTGAGCAAAACCCTGGTGCTTTGATGCTAGCAGCTGCGATGCCCTTCTTTGCAGTTGCTGGGTAGATTATGAAACGGCAAAGCAGCAGTTTGGAACAGTCTCTTTTCAACTGGACCACACCGCTTTCAATTGTGCCTCCTGCATTTTTGCGTCGTCTCATCCAAATTCAAGCTGTACAGGCCGTCCACCAACCCAGCGAACAGTAGTTCTGCGTCCAGAGTGCAAACCTAAGCACATGTGAAGAGAGATTTCTCTTGACCAGAGCCTCTTATCTAAATGTGTCGGCTGATACTCATTCTATCTCTCCTTTCACAACCAGCGTACACTATACGCTCTTTCTGGAATTTCGGTCACTCCGTGTGATTGATTGGCTTTGCCTTAACCTGAAGAGCTTTTCTTTATTCTGGTGAGGACAGCTGAAAACCACAAACACCTTAGCCCACTTTGTCCTAAAGGTTGGTGGTTGCTTTGAACGCCTGCATTCTCCATATGCTGTCTCTACTGAGGAAAATGTGACTGGTTTGTGTGGCGGCTTCTACATCAGAACGTCTGCTTCGCTAGTTTCAGTCCCCAGCACGCACGAATGCATGCGTTCTTCCTAGAGGCAGAATCTCTCAATTTATGCGCAACAGATTCCAAGACTGAGATGAAAGCTATCGTCCACTGCAACTCCGCTTCGGTCATCTGGGCTGTGTTCCTGAACATCCAATCCAAACCCATTGGAGTTTCCACAATCATAAACGATGCAAATTCACATCTCCCACCAACGCACCCAACGCCCACATCCCCCACCCCCAATTCATGATGTATATAGTCGCTTGGTGAGTAGAGAATTGGGTCCTCAGCTACAGAAATCGGTATCTCTCTAAAGAATACTTTATTTTCTTGATGAGGCAATTTGGGCTCCACTTAGCGTAGCTATTCTGCTGGGAGTGGTAGAGCGGGGGGGTTCAGACTATTTGTGTCTCTGAATAGTCTTACATCAGCGTCGTTTGGTACCTTAGATCTGGACATGAGTGTCGGGACATCGTAGACGCAACCCAACGCACGAGGACAATACATCGATATATACGGGCAACATGAATCCGGATCTAAGA